CTGGAAGGACAGGCACATTTATACTAAATCCCTGTGTGCTTAATTAATCACCACGCCATGAAGACTTCGTCACTTACTGGAAGTGAGTGGCCAGCTTCACGCCGCAGGGGATAGAGCCCCCCGGCTTGGTAGGCCCCAGAGCCGATCTCAACTCTCCGGAGTAGTGAAGAATTTCTTGCCCATTTCGGGAATCGAACCCCCGCCGTCCAGCCCGTAGCCCCTCACTTTACCGACTGATCAATCACGGCTACTAAACTTGACAAAATAACAACATAACTCCGCCCCTCAGGGTAAATGTTTTGCAACTGGTAAAAGAATGTCATAATAGCCGTTGCGTGGTTCATGACTAAACTAAATAGTATATATTTATTTCAGTCACAAGTCGAACAGCCACAACACTCAGTGGTTGATTTCTTTTGCCCCTAAATGCAAATAAATACCGACAGTTACCGTATAAATGTAAGTAGCAGCCGTTATTTCGAAATTCCATGTTTGCTGGTTAGAGTAGCCCTACGAGCCGTAGGAGAGAACGAGAATATAACCGGTACTTGAGGGTATAACTAGGCGGTCCTGTCACTGGGAGACATTAATACAAGAATCTGATCCTCCATGTAGGGCGGCAGTATGGAAGATGTAAAAATAAAATATCTAAATCAAATGGGGCTTTCAATCAACTGCAGAAAATCTGGAAGTCAAATTATATTTAATTAAAAACAAAACTAAGAATTTTCAACTCTAATGTGAAATCACTTTTATTATATGGACGTGAGACATGGCGAGTCATCCACCAAATAAGTAGAAAATTACAAATTTCTGTAAATCGATGCCTCCAGAGATGACCAGTTATAATAACAAATGAGGAACAATGGAACAACTGAACAGATAACCAGACGTAAATGGAACTGGGTCGGCCATACTCTTCGAGAGGAAAATACAGATGAGGAGGAGGCTATGGAGTGGAACCCACAAACACAAGGGAAGAGGAGCTGGTACAGAACAATACGAGAGGAAGCCTTGGCTGTTGGGAAGACGTGGGAAGAAATTAAATATCTCAGCAAGAACCATGTATGATGGTGACACTTTGCTAATGCCCTATGTTCCAATGAGAGCTAACGGATGATGATGATCCTCCATATTGGGGATTGGAGGCAAGCCTGACAATCTTGTATTGTAAAAAAAATCTGTTGGCGACATCCAAAGAAGTGAAAGCGGATGGTCTAATTATCCAATGAATAAACAAGTCTGGCGAAATCTTCTAAGAATTTGGCTCAAAGAGAGCTGTTTTACATATGATGATGATGATGATGATGATGATGATTCCATTTCGGCCCATATACCTTTCGTAATCTCGCCTTTGTTAATATGCAGCCATATATCATTATTTTGACTGACGTAAACACAGCAGAAACTTTCTTTTTGTCGAAGTACGTTCAGAGAAATTTCATTCATCAATTAATATACCAAGACTCTAAACTGAGCAATTCCCATTTATAGCCACCGTTTCCACAGATAACCTGCTCATTGATCTATTCATAATTTACTGCCCTGTTAAATCTCGCCTCAGGTGAAGATTTGAGGCATACTCGTACGTGCAGTAGTGATGACTTTGTCGCATATTCTCTCCCTGGATTGAAGTCTTACATGTGATGTCGTCTATGGTCGGAGGGCAAAGTAAATTAAGCGCGTGCTAGAATAATGATAATACAAAGAATGTCTTGTGAAATTTCTGCAGTGTTGCCAGCAAACATTATTTGGCTATTTTATCGGACTGCAATGCGTATGTGTATAAGTACAGTCTTGTAAGGAGCAGACTGCCAAACACTTGAAAACTAGTTCATTTATGAACGAACATTGATTTTTGTATAGGATTCGAATCTCTCTGCTATAGAAATAGGACGTTCCCCCCCCCTTATTACTGATTCATTATTTACTGGTCTTTTTAAAATGGCAGCCTTAATATATTCCGTTCTGAGTAGCTACAGGGTATTTCGTAAGTCCAGAAACGTGGTTCATCAGTAATGCTTCTACGAATCAGACGCAATGGAGCCTACATGAATGTGATGCATGACATGAGGTTCTCAAGGTGGTATAATACTGTGTTCTTTGAAGTGACGCTGTTATTCTGGTTGATGGTTAACCAGCGTTTCACAGGAACATTCCGCCTCAGTGTTCATGGTGGAAAAATATGTCGAGAGTGGAAATATTTGTCCTGATGTAAGGAAGGTTCAATCTTGTGTCTTGAAGATGAAGGAAATGGGTTCCTCGGAAACGTTGGTAGACATCATCTCTTACTTACTCATGGAGCTGAGCCCTTCTTGAGGAGCCGCCAATTCCGCAGCTACTCAAGAATTTCCCAGCATTTTATGGAACCCAAAGGTTCATCAACGTGTTCACAAGGGCCCTCCATTGGTCCAAATCCTGAGCCAGATCAATCCAATCCATACCATTCCATCCTATCTCTCTAAGATCCATTTTAATATTGTCCACTCACCTACATCTTTTTCTTCCCAGTGGTCTCTTTGCTTCTGGCTTTCCCACCAGTATCCTATATGGATTCCTCGTCTCCCCATATTCGTGCTACATGCCCTGCCCATCTCAATCTCCTTCGACTTGATCATTCTGATTATGCTTGGAAAAGAGTACAAATTATGAAGCTCCTCATTATACAGTTTTCTCCAACCTCCTGTCACTTCATCCCTCTTCGGTCCAAATATTCTCCTCAGCACCCTGTTCTCAATCACCCTCAGTCTGTGTTCCTCCCTTAATGTCAGAGACCAAGTTTCACACCCATACAGAACCACAGGCAAAATTATAGTTTTGTATATTCTGAGTTTTATGTTTTTGGACAGCAGACGAGACGACAAAAGGTTCTGGACTGAATGGTAGCAAGCATTACCCGAGTTCAAGCTCCTCTTAATTTCCTCCTTAATCAGGTTTTGATTTGTTATCGTTGTTCCGAAATATCTGAACTGTGCCACATTTTCAAAACATCTCTTACCTATCTTTATGTCATGATTTTGCCCTGCATTTTGGTGACGAGACAGCAACATATACTTAGTTCTCTCTGTGTTTACTTCCAGACCAACCTCCTTACTTGCGTCACTACGAATGAATATATGAGGTTATGTTCTCATGTTTCCTTGGAGGTCTAGTTGAAATGTTAAACATTGTGTAGTATTGCAGGAGGATGAAACGTTGAGTGCTGCTTTTTTGGGGGGGGGGCAAGAAGTTAGAACTAAGTGAAGATCATTGAGTCTGTATTGTAACGGATTTGATCACTCTGTATGTACGAATACAGGCAACAATAGAAGGGAAACTGTGATTTTTATGCGGTCCGCGCCGGGCGGGAGCTATAGGAAGTCTATCGCCAAGCAACGAAGCTGTAAACATCCATCCACAACAATGGAATATGGTGTTTTCCGTGGGGTCCGTACAAAGGTGTTATCTTAAAGATGAACGGCGCTACGAGTCAGACTAACCCGTGTGGAGGCGGGGTCGAATACCTCCACCGTGACCCTGCGAGTCGTAGGAGGCGATGAAAGGGGAAGTCTCAGATCTGAGACAATGAAATATGGTCGTGAGTCCCAAGGGACTCCGACCCGAGAAAGACTGCGCTGGCAAGGACCAACAGTATAAATAAAAGACAGACCTATTCTCTCATCAGCGAGAGCGCCCAACAAAGCAAGACCGTAACTATCAAACAGCAATAAATATCTGGTCGCTCGACACCAAGACTTACTGACTTAGTTAGTTAGTTAGTTAGTTAGTTAGTTATTGGAGAGGGTGGGTTTCCCCATGCACTTAGACCTGTATTGGTCCATTGTGCTTCCCTCTATGATTTCTAACAGTCTCTATATCCTACCCGTACTGGTGCTTACCATCAGTCCCGCCCAGCCAGCGAGACCGGCTCTACTAGCTGAGAGGTATCTATAATGCTTCCCCCATCTACCAGAGGTATTAGAGACTGCTGCTGGGCGGGAAACGTTCGTAAATTTGGCTCAGTGACCTCCTTTGGAGATATGAGGTTCTTTTACGTGCCGTAAAGCTACGACACGGGACCCACGGCCTAAAGTCCCTCCCGGAGGACTTGTTCCCTGAATTTTTCCGCCCTTAAAAATTCGACCACCTCCGCCGGGTATTTGAACCCGCGTACTACGAGTCATGAGATGGGAACGTTACCTCTAGGCTACGGAGGCCGCTAAGACTTGCTCACTTGCTCACTTGCTGACTTGCTGACTTACTGACTGACTGACTGACTGACTGACTGACCGTCAGTCGCAATGTGACTTTGACTTTGACTCTGACTTAACTACGAGTCAGTCAGTTCTCGGTTGGAGACAGCCAAGGGGAGTTTCGTAGTTGAAGTGTTAGAAGTCGACCTATGCAGACTTAAAGTGTGATCAGAAGGCCTTGGAGTATGTGATTCATTGAGACTTATAGTGCCTGCGTTTTAATTGCGTTACCAGGAGAGGACCAGTTTCTGTGTAAATCAGCGATAGCGCTGTATTGAAATGTGATAAGAGACATTGCAACCAACGTGCTAATAAATCCAATCACCCGAACTAGAAACCGTCATTTGCGTCACGCGTACCACCCTAGACGTGACAGTATGTTCAGTAGTATAAATTGAAGGGAAGCGCATCTCCAGGGCATCTCCAGATAATTGACTCAGAGTTCCAGATTTTCTTTGCGACCTTGCAAAAGGTAGAATTTAAACAGTGCTGGTCAGTATAGCAGTTACATGTTTGAGGTTTATAAAATATTGTTAGTATGTTGTTATTGAATATTATTAATTTTGTATTTTAATTCTTTGGGGGTCTATCTTTGTTCTTTCTTGAAACGTGTCCATGCCATCTTATGTTATTTATTTTATTAGAATGTAAGCATATTTGCTCTCAGGAAGCCTGTACAGCAGAGTGAGAACATATTGCTCCATGTTTCACAAAATACTGACGCAGTTTCATGCAAATTGGCATTGATATGTTTTCTTTGTTTTACAGGGGAGCCAGTAATGTCCATCTCAGAGCTTCTAGGTCTGAACCTCCCACGAGGCCCATTGTTAGGCAACACGAGCCCCTTGGGAGGTAGCAATCATTATGGATCGCCCACGTCAAGCCCCAGTAATCCATTTCATCGCAGTTATCAGGCAAGTCTCTAGGATTGTTATTGTACAACACAGCATATTAACTTCTGTGTGGTTTCACACTGTTAAAGGTAAAAGGTAAAATTTTCCACTGTGCTTAACTAATTAAGCACTGCCCCTTGAAAACCTATGGGGGAGTGGATATAGATCCACATTTTCTTAACCTCGGCACTAGCTGGAGATGAGTGGTCAGCTTCACACCCCGGCCGCTTTACCCCCGGTACTCTTTGGATGGTAGGCTGTGTGAATCCCAGAACCGGTCTGGATGACATGAAGAAAAGAAAATTCTTGATTCTACTGGGACTCGGAACTCCGAACCCTCGGTCATCCAGCCTGTAGCTAGTCACTATACCGACTGCTCTATCCTGGCTCCTTTTCACACTGCATCAGAAAGTAAATAAATGTTGCAAAATGAGAATCTGCTATTCCTTTATGAATGTCATACATAATGTGACGTGTTACCTTACGGCCATGGCCGCGACAACTGGTGTCAGAAGTGGGATCAGTTCGGATGTTGAGAAGAATTTAGAAGAATTATTTAACTAACACCACGTCGAAGCGGCCTCCGTTCCCACCTCATGACTCAAGGTACGCGGGTTCAAACCCGGCGGAGGTCGTGGAATTTTTAAGGGCGGAAAAATTCAGGGAACAAGTCTTCCGGGAGGGACTTTAAGCCGTGGGTCCCGTGTCGTAGATTTACGGCACGTAAACGATCCTCATGTCTCTAGGAGACCTCTGAGCAAAATTAGGTAAAAAGTTTCCCGCCCAAGTAGTTTCCAATGCCTTCGGTAGATGGGGGAAGTATCGGGTACCATTTGCCAGTAGAGGGGCCGAACTCGCTGGCTGAGCGGGGCTGATAGCAAGCACCAGTACCGGTAGGATATGGCGACAGTAGAAATTAAAGGGGGACGTACAATAGACTACTAGTCGCTACTACAACTGCTAGAAGACATGAAAGCCGTGAAATTGTGGACGCCAGCCACGATGAGATGGGGGCTAAAATCGAACCTGAAACAGACATAAAGACGACGGACTGCCAAGAGATGGAGGCGCGTCGAGAAGAGAAAGAGCCGACCTCACTGGACAGGAAACCTGAGACGGCAGAGCTTCAAGAGTTCCCCAAGGAAGATGCCATTGTGAAACCGGTCAATGGATGGAAGAAACGGCATAGGGGCAAGAAGCAAGATGCAGGGTGACGCGGGGAACCTAAGGAACTGACCCGAGGAGATTGTGGATCTCCGAGCATATTGGCTGCCGCCTGCAGGAAGGTGTCCCGTCGCGCAACAGTGGCACGACGCAGGAGAGATGCCTTCAAGAAAGAACGGACCCAAAATCAGGATGGGTGCTGGAAGAAATGTGTCGCCGGCCGCGGAAGGACGACCCGCCGTGCAGGAGTGGCACGGCGCAAGGGACACATCGTCGGGAGGAACCAGACTAGAAGGAACGTTGCAAGAGGAGCCCTCAGAGGGCGGAGACTTCAGGTAGAACCGGAGGGCAGCACTGGAGTGAAGGATCAACACACAAGACGGCGGCTGCATCTTGGGAACGAGAGAACATCCAGCCGAACCCTCTGTTGTCACGGAAATGCTATACCGTGTTTCTTTTCCTTCGTATAAGATTTCAGTTTCCATGGCACTGAATATTCACACGGTGGTCCTCAGGTTTATGATTCATGTATTGAGGTGGATTAGCACAAACTGACGCCATATTGTCACCATTTTATTGAGTGTGACTGTAGAAGGGGCTTGGATTCGTAACTGGAGTTATTGCGCACTTACACATGTAACTCGTAACTGCAAACAACTACAGCGCTATTGCTAATTCACTCTGCAGTTCACTATAGCACGCACTAAGTCTTTTCAGTCTGCTGTGTATTCACCAGTCGTTGCCTGGTATTGACTTCCAGTGGCAGACGTTTCCCTTCCTCCGGGTTCCCGAACTGTCACTGTGCCTCAGCCATGAGCTTCTCACAGCAACATCTCACAAGGGTGAACCGCAGAAGTTCTCTCTCACTCACTCTCTTGGCGTGCTTGCAGCCTCAATATATGGAGGGATGAGGTTACTCTCCGTCCTCAAACTTGCAGTTGCAGCATGTCGGTATGGCTGCCGTATTGACCCTCTGCAGGTGACCGCACCCACACCATGTATAAAGGGGAAGTTGCTTGCAGTTAGCCCAGACATGGCCGAACTAACTCAACTCTAGACTTGTCCTGCTTTTAACATCACGGCTCCGATCGCGCATAGCACACCGTTTCTGTTTTTCTTTTCACTTCCATTAGGATGCCCACGTGACCGCTACTCAGACATTGCCTAACAACGACCGTTGTTTACAGAGCCATTACTTAACAACGGGTATTCTATAGCTGTCTATTGCTGAGTCGTTGCTTAGCAGCGGGTCTATATGCCACAGTATTCTTCCTGGGCTTGAGTAATTGTGTTTTTTAGAGCATACAGTTTCCAGCTCTGCTGGTATAGTGACAGGCTACTGGTTGGATGGATGCTGATCCATATGGGCTCTCAAGCCCACATATCGGGGTTAAAGAGGCCGTAGTGTGAAGCTGACTGCTCACCTCCATCTAATGCTGAGATCAAGAATGGTGGAGCTATACCTCTATGCCCCCCTACATCTTCATGGCATGGTGCTTAATTCATTTAGCACAGACTTTACATATACCACTACACTATCAGAGCCTCATCTCCTTTTCCTCATCCGTGGCTCTGATCAGCCACCCCTATACTTCATGATCTGTTTCTCCACAACCACAAACCTTACAGATTTGGCTCCCTTATGCCCTGAAGACGGCAATGTGTTCTCTGAAATGTTGGTACCCACGTACTGGACTATATGTCTATGGCTCTAGAGCCCTTTGTTGGTCCTTGTCTGCTTTTTCATTTTCTTGATCTTTTACACAGTTGGTAGGACTCCTTGGACAGGGGATCAGCCTGTCACAAGGCTGCTACACACGGGCAGCACAAACATAGAATAAACAAACACAGACATCCATGCCTCAAGTGGTGTCTGAACCCATGACCCAAATGTTTGAGTGAGCGAAGACATTTCATGCCTTAGACTGCACAGCCACTGTGATGGGCACCTACTAGACTATATGGTGTTATAATCCAGATGAGTGTAACGTTTATGAGCAATTTCCTGCATGAAGAATGCGTCCTTTCTGTGTATTTTGTCTCTTGTTTCTTGATGTCCAGGATGGCATGACTGCAAAAGCTGATATGGGGGGTGTGTAGGAAGATTTTGGGAACGACTTTGTAAGTTAAAACTTACCCAGTGATCAGTGGTGTCTCCTGCAGAGTAGTTCCTTTTGGCAGCCATGGTTGAAGCTGTTTTTCCTGCCATATTTGGAAGCATTTCTGGAACATATATTTTGGTGCATTCACTACTGGACCTTCTCAAGGGACCAAAGATGCATCCCTTTCAGTGAAGACTCTGTGGTTGGGAATAGAAGTCTCACTTAAGCCAAGAAGGATGTTCAAGCAGCAGAATCTGGTCTTTGTACCATAAAATGATTGCTTCAGTCATTGACCATCAGTCAAGTTCTTTGGTATCATCTTAGCACAAATATTTTTCAAGACTGATGATTAAAATTTGACAAAAAAAGATTCTTATCCATCCCCATGCCTTCTCCTATCATTCTAATAGTCATTCTTTGACTGATACAAACAAATTTCTGCACTTTCTCAGCATATCCATCAGTTTTCACTGTTGTTGGCCAGTCTGATCAAGAATTATCATGGGCATTCTTTTGTCATTTTAGAATAACATTTGTGTCAATCAAAAACTTGTCCCTTAAACACTGGAAATCCCACATAAACTTCTTTTTACAGTTTACAACTTTGATGGCTGTTTTTCTCAGTTTCACCAGAAATTTCAGATCAGTGTGCTGTTCAAAAAAAAAAAAAATGTCAGATGTGTTATATGATCCAAGCACAAAACCCCTCCATTTAATTTGATATGGCAAGAGACACAATAAGCACACAAGACCACTCAAATGATAGATGAAGGAACACATTGCAATATCAACTGATTAGTTTGGGGTGTGACATGACAGCAGTTCTGCATTGTGGCCATTCTTGGAACTTTCTGGTAAATACCTAAAACTTGTGTGAATTTGAATCACATTGACTTGCTCATCTTCTAAACCACTGTCAACTCTGAACAGTGTAGCTGCATAAGATGAAGTCATTGATGTAATCCATGTGATATCATCACTTTGTCATATTTGAAATTTCCAAAAAAATGTGAGCTTTTTAACACTGAAAATATTATATTCCTGTGACAGTTTATCAGTCCTTATGAATGTGAGTCTAATGTTTGTTATTCTGTTGTTATTCTTTAATGTATGATGGCATGTATTTGGAATAGGAGGAAAAAGTGGCTTTGATAAATGTCAGTTTATTTATTTTATTTACATTTATACATTCCATTGAGCCTTATGGTACAGCTGACCAGTGGATATGGATTTTGTCAGTGGGAGGTATTGAGTTAAAATTGCAGTTTTGTTTGCTGGAAATGGTTCACAGCATAGCACTAGACAGCACCATTTTCTTATGCATATTGTTATTCTGTCAAGTCCAGTATCTTAGTTCAAATGTAGCCATATTTCAGGAACATTTAAAGTTGTTTTTTGAGCTTGCTTGTAGGCGAAGAAACAGATTTTTTGCACTCCAAATTCAATAATGGAGTTATAACTGTAGTATTTTCTTATTGAAATTTTGATGTGTTTCATGTTGGTATACTTTTAAAAGGTAAGAAGAGCATTTATTTCTTTGGGGCATCTACTTGACTGTCTTAATACATGTAGACACAGCTACAGTTGACATTTTTGTTTTCTGGTTTTTGTTTTAAGGGCTTCAACTTTACTTCTTAAGTGCTAGAAGATGACTGTGACTTTTAAGTTAAATCCAGTTCAGTACATGTTATATTACATATTTTGTTTAGATTTTCTAAATAAGGCTTAAAACTTTGTGATTATTGTATATTAATATAATTATTGTGTTTCTGGACATTATCCATTGCCTGGTTTTATATAAAGCACATAATGTTTCAGAATTTAGTCTCCAAAACGTTGTGCGTTTTAAATAAAATCAAACCGTCAATAATGTCCAGAAAAATAATTGCTTGCAGAATTTCTAAGTTCCTTATGTCAATATTAAACGTATTTTATTTATTTCAGCAATACGAGGAGCCAAGACAGGAAATGTCAATGCCCATGAGAGTGTTACAACGTAACATGGACTCTCCTCTTCACCACTCATCATCATCACCTTGCTACCCGAGAACATTTCGTGGTTCCCCACCTTACAGGTATACACTGATATTGCACTTCATGTGAGTAGAATGAATATTAAGAAAATGTAAATTTTGCAGGATAAGATACATCAGGCCAGTCACAGTAGCCGAGCGGTCTAAGGGATGTACTGTCTTCGCTCGCTTGGAAACCAGGATTGTGGGTTCGAATCCCACTCAGGGCATGGATGTTTAGTTTGTGTGTGTGCGTTTCTCTGTGTTTGTGTACAAGTAGAGGCCTTGTGACGAGCTGATCACCCGCCCAAGGAGTCCTATCGAATGTGTAAGATCTAGAAAAACCGAAGTGAACGGAGAAGTTCATGGAGGTAGGCCTAGGCCCACTGGGGCTGTAGTGCCAAGGGGGGGAAAAAACCATCGGAGTCTGATTCATCATTGTCATTGTCATTGTCATCGCCCTTGTCATTGTCATTGTCATCGCCCTCGTCATTGTCATCGTCATCGTCATCATCATCGTCACAGCATCATCACCTCCTCACATCATACTTACCCTTTCTGGGATTAGGCTTGTTGAGATGTGTTACAGCTATTACAAAACATAACATGTCCATCATTCCAGAGATCTCCCCAAACTTCCTTCTCTTTTTGGTTGATATTTTAAGATATTTTTTTTTTTAATCCTGTCAGAGTTTGTAATCCTTAACCATCAGAACTCATCTGTCAGTGTGTTCTTTCAATTTTCTTTTGTATTCTACATAAATCTGTGTTTTTCTGGAATTTATAGTTCACACATGTTTTCTTAATTCCTTTTATGGTCAGGAAGGTTATATCCCACAATCTTCATAAACTGCATTCTTGCTTATATCTGTCTACTTTCATCAGTCCACTGTAAACACAGAAATTCTGCAAGCAGTAGCATTTGGCTGGGCTGCGCCAAAAATAGCATTTCCTCCACACTCGTAACCATCTCCATTAATACTGATGTTGCACAAGTTAGGTCAAGCACTGAGCTATTTGTTTGCAGTGACTGCAGCAGCCCAACATTGGAGCAGGCTCTGCTATTGAAATGTGCTACTGGGGGCTCCCGTTCCAATTCACCTGCCGACTCTGAAACAAGCGGTGTGAGCAGTATTGACGGCAACATCTCTGACCTCATGGTATGTATAATCATGCTTCCTAACTCTTAGTGTTGGTATTCCGTGACTCGTACGATATTTGCATTCCAACTTGAAATTCTTTTCCCCCTATCATTTCACTGCCTTTAATTTCCAATGAAAAATATGCAATTTCAGTTAATTTAAATGCTAGTGTTACTTCTTGTAACTGACCATCTGCACTTTTCAGAAAAGCAACTTTGATAATATCAGTGACATGAATTCAGTCAAGATAGCATTACTTACTCATGGAGCTGAGCCCTTCTGGATGAGCCGCCAATTCTGCAGCTACTCAAGAATTTCCCAGCATTTTATGGACTCCGAAGGTTCATCACCGTGTTCACGAGAACCCTCCACTGATCCCTATCCTGAGCCAGATCTATCCAATCCATACCATCCCATCATATCTCTCTAAGATCCATTCTAATATTGTCCACCCACCTACGCCGTGGTCTTCTGTGTGGTCTCTTTGCTTCTGGCTTTCCCACCAATATCCTATATGCATTCCTCGTCTCCCCCATTCGTGCTACATGACCTGCCCACCTCATCCTCCTTGACTTGATCATTCTAATTATACTTGGAGAAGAGTACAGGTTATGAAGCTCCTCATTATGCAGTTTTCTCCAACCTCCTGTCACTTCATCCCTCTTCGGTCCAAATATTCTCCTCAACACCCTCTTCTCGAACACCCTCAGTCTATGTTCCTCCCTTAATGTCAGAGACCAAGTTTCACACCCATACAGAACCACGGGCAAAATTATAGTTTTGTATATTCTAATTTTTATGTTTTTGGACAACAGATGAAAAGACAAAAGGTTCTGGACTGAATGGTAGCAAGCATTACCCAAGTTCAATCGCCTCTTAATTTCCGCCTGAATCAGGTTTCGATCTGTTACCGTTGTTCCCAAATATCTGAACTGTGCCACATTTTCAAAACATCTGTTTCCTATCTTTATGTCATGATTTTGCCCTGCATTTTGGTGATGAGACAGTAACATATATTTAGTTTTCTCATTGTTTACTTCTAGACCAAACTCTTTACTTGCATCAATTAAAGTTTGTGTGTTTTTCTTTATGGTATCTACATTATCACCCAGTAGATTCACATCAACGGCAAAGGCCAACAGCTCATGTGTCTTGTTCAATTTCAGTTCTGCCTGGTTTCCCTGGACCTTCCTAATGGCATATCTAAAGCAAAGTTGAAAAGGAGTGGCGATAAAGCATCTCCTTGTTTTAGACCATTCTGGATAGGAAATTTACCAGACAAATGTTTACCTACACAGACTTTAAAATATGTTTCACTGAAATACATTTTAATCAACCTAACTAGTTTCATAGATACCCAAACTCTATCAGAATATTGTACAATACCTCCCTCCTAACTGAATTATAGGCTTTCTTGAAGTCTATGCATAGCTGATGTACTGTCTCATTGTTCTCCCATTTTCTCTCCAGTATCTGATAAATGCAAAAGATCTGATCTGTAGTTGATCTGTTATGTTGAAACCCACACTGATGATCCCCAATTATTTCATCTATGTATGGACTTAACCTTGAGAGAAGAATAATGGATAAAATTTTGTATGAAGTTGACAGCAGTGATATCCCCTGATAATTACTAGTCAGTTTTATCACCCTTCTTATGAAACTGTACAATAATAGACTCCTTTCACTGACCAGGAAATTTTTCCTTATGCCAAATACAAGTATTTAGCTTATGGATCTTAGAAGATAATCTTTTGCCTCCTACTTGAATTTGATTTACACCTTTTCAATTTTGCAATAGCAATTTCAACCTCAAAAGGCTTAGGATCAGGTACTAACAGCTCAGCTGTATGTATTTCTGTCTAACATCACTGACCCTATGTACATTCAATAACTGAGAGAAGAAGTTCCTCCACCTATTCAAAATGTTGTGGGAATCTGCAAGCAGATCACCATTCTCATCCTTCGCTAAGTTACTGCTAGGCTGGTAACCCCCTTTAAAGTCATTTATTCCTCTACTAAGGCTATCAATTATAACCCCTTACACATCTTAATTTTTATTTTTGTTTACAGCAAATGATTTAATTATATTTACTCTTAAATTAAATAAAAAATATATTTAACTACATTGGTGAATATAGTTGATTGGTTGGTTTCCAATGGCTGCATTTGGGATCATTTCACCCATTTTGCTTCTTTTGCACTGAAGTATCTTTTGGGAAGCTTTGCCAGGTTTGTTGCTCATTTTGCACTACCCAGGGGACATGTATGACTTAAAGAATGTCACAGACATGAGCAACTTTGTCCCCCACGTTAGTAAATATGTCATATAAGTTTACATTGCATAGAAAGAAAGTAAAGCTATCCCTGTAACAGGCCATGGAGGCCTATAGGTCTGTGAGACACTGAGGCTTCCATTTTGACTGGACAATCAGCTCACAGATGGCAGTGAGCTTAAGTAAACCTGTCCCTATAGCAGACCGTGGAGCCATGTAGGGTTGTGAGACATTGAGGCTCCCACATTTTCTAGGCAGTCAACTCAGAGATGGTGGTGAGGTTGTTGCCCTTGAGTGCCAGCTGCCCTTTACCCCCAGGAAGATTCCTGGCACTCATTTCTGTTAGAGGCTGAATCAACCCCATTTTCATAATGTGGCCAGAAGGATTAGGTCAATTGAAAAATCCAGTGACCTCACTGGAAATTGAAGCAGTGACCTTCTTGCTTGTAGCACAGTGCCTCAACCAAGTAGAATACTGCATGTCCCTTGAAATTACACGAGTTGGAGGATATGTGTACTTCTTTCAGCCTATTCGTTTCCAAATAATTATATCAGTTTGTAACCATGCAGCATGTCAGCTGAATAGGACTCTGAGACTACAGCGATATGTGATTCGAAATGATGGGAACCACAGGAAACAGTGGTCTCCATGAAAACATGATTACACACAGTACTACAGTAACTTTCATTCATCCTGGAAGCTTAGAAAATTAAAACAAAAGTATTTTTTCTTTTTATTTTTTGTTTCAGAATTGCCTAAGCTTGACACAACCTACTAGTCCACTTGCAGGTTTACAGCTGGGGAGTCCTGAGCAAGAGATTGTGAACAGACATGCACTCCAGCAAGCCATGAGACCAGTGCAGCAGTCCACACTGCGCTACTTGCAACAACAGCAGCAGCAACAACAACAGTCTCTGCAAGCTACACTCTCATCACTGCTGCAGTACCCATTACATCCCAGCACATCGACACTGGGCCTAGAGAAACCTTGGGTCTTCCCTACAAGTCCCACAAACCAAGACAAACCATGGTTACCACTGTCTCCTTCAGCTGGACTGCCTTCTCCAATACCCAACACAAACTCTCTGGAGAGAGCAGCACAGTTCCACAGGAATGCAGCATGTAAGTACAACACTCACAGACTGCCTTACTCCATAGTGGTTCAGTGTGAGGTTTTAGGTTCTCACAGCAATGACTGTGAAGGTTGTAACACCATGCAGATGATTTTAGGTGAATATTAGTACTGAACTGTTGAACTGTGGATCTGAACTTTTATGTGTGGCCCTTAGGGCATGAATAGCAACAGAGAGTGTTTCCAGCATCTGCTAGGATCTGTTTGGCTGTGTGTCAGTTTGTGAGAAGCCATATGATAATGAGAAAACCCTGGCAGCACTGTTCATGTAATCCTGTAAGAGTTCTTATTGTTAACACATGCTTCAGAGAATACCTGTTGTAATAGGCATGTTTTGATTACCTGCAGTAAAGGGAACTTGCACCGTTTCCTAACGTACTGCATTGCTGAAGACATTGTATCCTGTCAGTGAGATCTTTTGTTGGGCAGCAACATGTTTTTGAAACAAAAATATGTTTTGTTCCAGCTCTGTATGAAGCTACATGTTCATGGAGTGGAAATTTGCCCCCTCGGACACAGAAGAATGTATCTTACTCCTGCAAGGTACGTAATTACATCACATGTATATATGATAAGTCCAAGCAAGGCTGTATTTTTTTCATTTCATTATTATGTTGTTTCCACAAGAATCAAATGTACATGTGATCTTTTGTTTGTTATGATAGTACCACAAGATGGCGATGATAATTTGTAATGTTTCAGCATATACGTATACGTATACGTATTACAGTGTCTTTAATCCATGTTAACAGTGTTAACCTATGCTGAAAAAAGATGCATTTCGAATATTAATTGTTATTGTATGAAGCTGTCTTTCCAGAATTCACGTTCACGTGATATTAGTACAGGTGAAAACGTGATTTCAGAGTGTCTTTCAAGGGATGTAAAATAACAAGATTTGATCTGGAACCCAAGGTCTGCAGTAAAGTACTGCTGGATGAGTTACTTGAAATTGTACTACATTAACATCGTCTTAATTGTGTATTGTAGCATGTAGACCCATTACTAGGTAATTACCCCGAAACAAAAATTTTCCCATGGTAGGGAGCCCATGTGCAATGGCAAGGGAACTGTTGGAAACTGTGTTTTTTTCATGGTCCATGCCAAAGGGTTACATAACGAGGACACAAGCTGATCAGGAGTCAGTTGTAAGGGAGTCTGTGAAGAGAAACCTAGGAGGTTGGTATGAGGTGGCCTGGGGGGGTTACTCAGTTGAAGCAATGAGTGAGTCATGGAATGTTAGCCTGAGGGCAATGAAGTGTTCACGGAAGCTGGAGAATCCCAACTGTTGAAAACCGTTACCAGGAAACGACTAGTGGAGACTGTAACAGACTGAGAACACTAGTCTGTGTGTGATAGTGATTTGTAAAGTGTAGTTATATGTTGAGTGTATAAGTGGTCAATATATCTACTCACCAACCCAAATCCCATCTATAGTCACTTATACACAGGACAATATTATATCAAATATGTGAGTGGTCTAATTTCGCCCTATCATGAATGCCCCTATATCAGTTTCACACTCAATGAAACAAGAAACAGTGCTATAAGGAGCCGAGGAATACTTTTTTTTTTAATATTTTGATCGAAAAATGAGAAAACTGAACCAAACAGATTTGTCTGCTGGTAATGCTCTAAACTTGTGTCTGGGAGGCGCTAGGTTTGAATCCTGACTGGTACACTGGCTATCCTGATGGTGTTTTGTGGTTTTCCTCAGTCCCTCCCTGGCAAATGCTGTGATGGCACCTCAGTTACGACATGATCGTTTCCTTCCATCCTATCCAGTTTGGCATTCGGCACAGTATTGTCTGCAGTACTGAAAGCATTGTAAACTAACCCATCAAAAATACCCACCATTCTGCTGATAAACAGTAAGGAACAGGGGAAATTGTTCCTGTGCTTCACTAATTAAGCACTACGCTGTGAAGGCACATGGGGGAGTGGATGTATAGAGCCACATTTTCTTGACTTCGGCACTAGATGGCGGTGAGTGGTCAGCTTCATGCACTGGCTGCTTTACCCCCTGAGTAAATGCCCCCCATTCCCATTGAATAGGAGGCTAGGTGAGCCCCAGAGCCAGTCTGGACGACGTGGAGAAGAGAAAATTCTTGACCCTACTGGGACTCGAACTCCGACCCATCGGTCATCCAGATCATAGCCAGTCGCTATACTGACTGTGCTATCCCAGCTTCCATTGGTAAATAATATTTGTTTTAATATTAAAATTATTTCATCAATATTTATCGTTATATTTTGAACATCTTGGGGTTCAGCAATTGGTGTTTGTGCAGTATTTCTACATGATAAGCTTATTCTATGGTCATGCCAATTTGTCTTCATGTGTGGTCTTTTATGCCACTTTCAGTTGTGAGTCAGCATCGTGGATTAGCATGTTGCAACATCATAATTATTGAGAATTTCTAGAGATATCTGATATATTGTCGTTCTGTTCTGACAGATATTCTTAGGTGGTGTTCCATGGGATATCACTGAGTCAATGCTCATTGCAGCATTCAGAAAGTTTGGCGTGATTAGAGTAGAATGGCCCGGGAAGGACCAAGCAGCCTCTCAACCCAAAGGTTATGTTTATATAATCTTTGAATCAGAGAAACAGGTAAGATACGATTATTTATTTTCTTATATCTTCCCTCTCTCTCCCACTTTGGAGCATAAGGCTGATTTCTCAGTTTCACTGTTCATTTTTACAGACACTAGGACTCCTTGGATGGGTGATCAGCTTGTCACAAGGCCTCTTTCTAAGCACAGGACAACACAAACACAGAATAACAACACACACACACCAAATATCCATACCTCATGTGGGATTCGAACCCATGATCCTGGCTTCCAAGCAAGTGAAGATAGTTCATGCCTTAGACCGCTCAGCTACCATGACCAGCAGTAAGATAGAAGAATAGTGAAAAACTTGTTCATAATATTGTGTCACCAGTACCACATGCTTGTCATAATGTAAATCCTCATGTACACTTCTCTGCATTCCTGTTGCAAAGCATTGTCCATGGGTGTATTTTCATGTAATAGCTTGTACATATGACTAATACAAAGGTGATAGTTGTTCCTTGAGCATCAAAAACTAAATTATGCATTTGCCAAGTTTTTTCTTTCCATGGGAGATCCAGGATAGCTCAGTCAGTATACCGACAGCCTATGGCTTGGATGCCTGGGGATCGATTCTTGGTGAGGCAAGACATTTTGTCTTCTCCCTTCATCCAGACTGATGACTCTTGGGCCCAACAAGCCCTTTGCCCAATGAGTATGAGGACTGTTTCCCTGGGAGTAAAATGGTCAGGGCGTGAAGCTGACCACTAACCTCATCTATTGCTGATGTAAAAATTGGTGACCCCATACCTCCACTCCTCAGTATGTCCTTATGGTGCTGTGCTTAATTGCTTAATTAAATGCAGGGACTGCTATACCCCTTTTTACTTTCATGGGATCCAGACAATTTTTAGCTGCTTAAGGGAGTAAGTAAAAAAAAAAAAAGTAAAGCTATCCCTGTAACAGGCCGTGAAGGCCCATAGGGTTGTGAGACGTCGAGGCTCCCACATTACCTTGACAATCGGCTCAAAGATGGTGGTAAGGTTGTCAGCCTTACGCGCCGGCCACACTTCACTCCCCAGGAAAATTATTTAATATTAAGTATGAAAATTTGGGAACCATTTTCTAAAACTTAAACCACAAAATTTATTAAAAAAAAATGGTGAAATTTATCATCCACAGGTGAAGGCGCTTCTTCAGTCTTGCACACATGACGTCACTAGTGGTGGCAACTGGTATTACAGAATCTCTTCAAGGAAGATGAAGTCTAAAGAGGTAAGTGCAAAATCATGTTGTACTGCTTGGGGCATATCCATACAATCCAGATCTGCTCCAAATGATTTTTACTTGTTCTCACACACTTGAAGCAGTTTCTGGGAGGTGCACACATGTGTAGCGATGAAAAAGTGAAGAAGACAGCTAAACACTGATTCAATCGACTGGTGGCAAATTTCTATGATGCAGGCATACAGAAACTCATCACATGATACAGCAAGGACCTGAATCTTCATGGGGATTTTGCAGAAAAATGATTTAATGTCTGTAGTAATCATATGAAATAAATTTTAATTGTATTTATTTTGTTTTTTTTTTCTGGATAACCCACATGGCATTGAAAACGTTTGGATCCTTCATTGTGAGAGGACATGACATGTTTTAGGTGCAAGTGATCCCCTGGGTCCTTAGTGACAGTAACTACATCAAATCCTCGTCACAGAAGTTGGATGCTAAGAAGACTGTGTTTGTTGGTGCATTGCATGGAATGCTAAATGCAGAGGGACTTGCCAAGATCATGAATGATTTGTTTGATGGTGTTCTATATGCTGGTGAGTATGAGAGGCTGAACACAGTGGCCATGATGAATAGCGATATCTTGGGATGTTGTGCTGTATAGTCTGGTACAAGTTTACTGATGTTTCAAAGGGGCACATTGCCTCTGTCAAAGGTTGAAGAGTAAGTTAATGAAGCAAACAGAGTAAGTGACCCTGCTTGCTTGCTCAGCTTGATTTTTGACCATGAACACGGAGACAGTCCATTTCTCTGAAATAAGATTCTTTCAGTCTACACAGCATCATATCCCAGAAGATTTTATTCTTCAAGGCAGTATGAATTTATTTTATGAAAATCCGAGGCTATTATGATGGTGAATATTAAGATTATGGTCTTATGGAGTGTGATAGATAAAAGTAAACGTTTCGGAGATACATGCTACCTCTTTCTTCAGGATACATAAGTGAGAAGTTTAATTTCTTTCCACTACGGTTAAACCCATTTAGCCCATTATTTATATCCATATCTGGTCACTGTGTTGGCTATTATGTGATGAAAGATTGAAAAGGGTTCATGCTTACCAGCTCCATGTTATATTTTAATTTACACATTTGTAATGTAACCCTTGTGGCTGATATGTCAACATGATCAAAGAATGTTTCTATGTTCTGCATACTCATGCCAGAGTTATATGATACATGAACGTGAGGCCATGTTGATGGTGTCGTCTTTCAGAGGAATTTATTGTTTACCTTGGAAAATTCTACAGTTCACATAGAATATAATAATTATCTACCATGCTATATGCCATATCCCAGAAGACTGTAGTGTCAGTTTTCACTGCTGTGAGAATGACAGCCTTCCCCCCATCTTTGAGCCGATTGTCTAGATAATGTAGGACCCTCAACGTCTCGCAACCCTGTGGGCCTTCACAGCCTGGTACAGGGATAGCTTTACTTTTTTTTATGAGAATGCGAAACCTCATGTACAAATGCTACACTGGGATATTAGATCTGTTTAATGGCACAGTTCCTCAGTGTAAGGGGTTTTCATTCAGTTTTTGGGGAATAAAGTTGTTTGTTTTCAACTTAGCCAAATTTGAAATTTTGTCCATCTCATCAATTTTCTCCTAATTTTCATTTCAGTTTGTGTTTATAGTTTATGTCATGATTTGAATAACTGGGACTGTATGGTATTGAATACCGAATTTGGAAGTATGTGGAAGAAAGTGGTTGGGGCATAATTTAAGACATTTTCCAGTATTTGCCTGGAGAGATTAAGGAAACCATAAATATCTTTAATCAGACAGTTGGTGTTCTGATCTAGATAGGAACAGTGCACCTTCTGAGTACAAGCTGAAAATGTGTCTGTTTGGGCCAGCTCCAAGCCTGTGACAGCCCTTAACCCTACCATGTCAGGGAACTCCATAAACTAATAATGCAGGTTTTGCTGCTCTTGCCATGGTGTGATATTGCCAAGTGTAGGGGGGTATGAGTGACGAAAACAGTGGATTCTAGTTCAGATGATTGTATTTATTGGCACTTTGTTTACAGTCTCTCTTAATTACAATTAATACAGCACTGTCACTGATTTACACAATTTACAGTTTGCCATTTCATGCGTTAGTATTCTCAGCCTCCACTAGTCATCTCCTAGCAACAGATCCCAACACACAGACTAGCGCTTCAAATCATTATGAAGTCTTCTTGCCATTTATTTTTCAGTCACCCTGGAAGCTCAGAATTTGACTAAAAAACTCTTCTTAGTTGCAAGGGGGCTTGCATTATCCACAGCACCATAATATATTCAGAAGACAGTACAATAATGCAAGATTTTAAAGCAGTTTCCAGTATATGTAAAAATATAGCTTTACTCTCTCCTGTTTGTGGAGAACACCAAAGTACAGGATTACTACAAATGATTCATTCCATTTCAAAACACTATATTGGTCGCCCCATGCTTTTCCGTTTACACAGACAACCAGTATCCTTAAACTGCCAATACCACCGCAGAATGCTCTGTTCACATGGTGGTTCTTTTCTGTGCTCTGCTCTGAATGCACGCTGCACTGCAATAACAGACGAACATCTCGCATACTCCAACACACAGAAACTCTTTTCCAGCTTTGTCGCCATTTTGTGAGGCACTGCACTCATGCTGCCAATTGGTGTATCACAGTGCAAACTTGGTGAGTTTGTGGTTCGTTTCATGTATAGATCATATTTGTATGTATAATACTTTGGAGAATATAATGTTTTGAAACAGAATGAATCATTGATAGTAAGCCTCTATATTTTAAGAAATGTACTGTGTCCTTTTGCAAGTATGTATGGTAGTTACATCTGTTAGAACCATGTATAGATATTTTGCTAAGAGTTTCTGATTTTGATTTGAATTCTCATTCCAAATCTTCTTTTATTTATGCGATCAAACTTAATTTCTTAATTTGAGTGGTATTGCTCCTTTAAAGTTTTAGCTACTGTACATTGTGATGCTGATGAAGAAAGCAGCCATATAATGATTGAGTGAATGGGTATGTCTTCTAGTACAGTATACAGAGTGTCACAGGAGGAAAGATCAATATTCTTGTAGGTCACAGTATTGCTCGTTCTAAGCAGAAAACTGTACCTATACATGTGTTCTATTCCGAACAGTTTCTGAGATAGAGCTATTTCACTGTACAGTTCCAAAACTGTTGATAAGAAACAGATATTGCATACTGTTTCAAATACCGGTATTTATTGTTCAAGTGACAAAGTTGGTACAGTTTACCTAGTGTAATACATCAGCGCACTTTGCAACTCGTGTGAGACATGGTGTGTTGCTCATGTGTACAGAATACAGTGTACTGTACAGTGTAATAATTCTTTCTTTATATTTGTATTTTGGCAGGCATTGATACAGACAAGCACAAGTATCCGATTGGATCAGGCCGTGTCACATTCAATAACCCACGGAGCTACATGCGTGCCGTAGCTGCAGCCTTTATTGAGATTAAGACTAGCAAGTTCACAAAGAAGGTAAGATTATCATAATGGAAGCAGGTAGTCAGAGCCTTGGTAAAACTGAAGAATAAACAACTTCTACATGTTGGATTTGAGGTTATCACAGCTATGAAGAGTTCTTTCTTCTGACATAAAATGCCATGTATTTGATAAAAGTCGGCCAATCTCCATCTTTGAGATTTAATTCTGTGCAATCTTATCTTTTTTTCAATCATACATTATCCATTACTTTTTGCTCTGTGAAGCAGCTAAGACATGCAACCCTCCTCCTTATGTTCTTATGAAATCAGGTTTTAGTTTGCTGTTGATTCTTTGATCTTAGTCACAATGACTTCCAAGGACGTGACAGAAAGATCAGGTGCAGTTGCTATAGCCAAAGTGGTGGGTAGGAAGGAAATGCTGATGTGGCTTATGTTAAGTCTTCAAGATTTCTTTGATGAAGGCTGTGAAATGCCAGTACTTCTAAACAGTGAACATTTCAATGAAAGGAAAATAAGCAACAGTTTATAATAAAGAAGGATATTTTATGAGAGCACCTTCAGGGAGAATTGGACAGTGCTGCTGTTAATTTGGGCAATCTCATACAGGCACAATTCACAAAAGTGCTGTGTAGAGAACTCACAATGTTCCATCCGAATTCCATTTAAACACATACAAGTCCAAAGATTATATGTGTACAAGATGGTGCATGAAATGATCCAGTATTTGATTTAGTATTAATTATTCACCGATACAGTGAACGATGTTTTGTAACATAGAGATTAGCTCTTATTCTTCCTGAGCACACTAGTAGCATGTGTTCCTGCTCATGTGCCCGTTTACACAAGGTGGCCGACAAAGGAAGACTGTAGAACAATGAATAAAAACAGTGTTTTTTTTTATTTAAACAAGAAATGTTGTCACAAAGAGGCGGTTCCATTCCCCATTTTCAAATGCAATGAGTGCCTTCATTGAAATCAATTCATAAACTTTATAACCAGTTTAATAATGATGGTTCAGCATTGGACAGGAAACGTCACCAGCCTCCATCTGTGTTTTCTCTGGAGAACATTGACGCTGTCATAGTGGTGCTGCAAAGAAGCCCCAGTAAATCAACAAGGAAGGCTGCAGCACAACTAGGGATATCCAGGCAATTGGTGCAACAAATACTGAAAAAGTGATTCGAATTTTTATCCCTATAATATTGTGGTGTTGCCGAACTTTCAGTTCAAAACAGACTTCAAAGAATGGCATTTCCTGATTGTTTCACATGTTTCAACTAGCCCCCGAATAGTTCTGGTTTAAACCCATGTGACTACTTTCTTTGGGGATTTCTTAAGGAAGAGATTTTTCTGAAAAAGCCGCAAACAAATTAATGGAATTGAGAGCACTAATAATTCAGGCCGACAACAAGATAACTGAGGATATTTGCCATGGAGTAATCAACATCACAGTTCAGGTTGAATTTGCCAGATAGAATGTAATGGTGGTCACATTGAACACTTGATTCGCAGAGGATACCTCTCCATGCAGTGGTCTTTCTTGTCATATGTTGGTTTGTAGTATTGTAATTGAAATAAAGATTTTATTAATAGATCACATACTGGATCATTTCTTGCGCCACTCTGTACTTGCAATTCTCGTGAAATAAATGATCCACAAGAGATTTTAGGTTCTCACAAAGTAGAAGACTGTGATCATCTTTGATGTGACATCATGCTCTTTGGTATAAGGGTACCAATCTACCAAACTACACAGCATCCCAGAAGATCGTAAGTATATGGGGTGTATTCACGTTCATTGTGATGGCATTTAGTGGATGTTAGTTGATTTCTATGAAGTGTTAAACTGTTGTACCTGTCATTATATGTCTGTTTATCATCTTGTCAACAGAAGCTTGTCAGGTGTAAAGGGTTCTGACTATGGTATATTACGCAGAATTACTGGGTTTGTAGATATGTCCATGGCCTAGTATTGTGAATAGAACACATCATCTGGAAACTGGATCTGTTTCTGTCCTCACTCAGATACAGTTGCTGAAATGTGTCAAGTTAAAAATACTAGTACAACTATTGTATTTCTGGACATCATCATCCATCATCCTGTTTTTGTTTACAACACAGTGTTTTGGAGACTGTACCCTGTCCCCATCTTCAGGTGAAACCTATACAGTTGGGCCCAATCAGCAGACCTGAAGACAGAGATAGACTCCAGTCTCTGAAAGGTTGTGTTTTAAATAAACACTGGATGCTGGATACTCGCTATATCCAGAATCACAATAGTTGTATTCATGTGCCATCATCACAAACTTTGACATCTTAATCAGAAGATTAGATCGACAACAATCTAGGAATGTAGTAATATTAAGAATTCTCAGTTCTGAGATATTAATAAACGTTAGCAGGGAAGTAAAATATGAGTAAGAATCAAAGGAATTTCAAGACGGTACATAGAAATTAAACCTGACAATAGTTCCCCTTTATTTATATATGCAAGGCACTTAATGTGAAGGTGCTATCTAGTGAAGTGTCTTGGGAAGGAGCAATTAGCACATACTTAATTCAAAATCTTTCCTTATCTTGAAAGGTGTCATACTCTCTGAGCTATTTATGACATAACCATGTGCGTCTGTGAATTGAAACAGGTTTCAGTAGAGGCCATCCTGTGTAACTTTGCTGCCAGAAAAAAGATTTTTTTTTCTTGCTGAACTTGCAAGATGATTGCCCTCCCAAAACGAACTCCATGGGGCAGAATTCTTCTTGAAAAGCTAATATTTGTGTAGCTAGTCGAGGATTTCCCCAAATTTTATGGAAGCAGAAACTTCATTGTCGAGTTCACAAGAGCCTGCCACTGGATACTGTTCCAAGGCAGTGTTTTTTCTTCAACCTTGTTATCTTTAAGATTCATTTTAATATTATTCTCCCATCTTGGCCTAAGTCTTATAAGTGCCCTCACCACATCACAATTATAATTTTATTACTTCTGCACAGGTTCAAGTGGACCCATACCTTGAAGATTCTCTGTGTTCATCCTGCAACCTGCAGCAGGGACCTTACTTCTGTCGTGAGATGGTCTGTTTCCGCTACTTCTGTCGTAAATGCTGGCAATGGCAGCATGCCTTGGATTCCATGCAGGCACACAAACCTTTGATGCGCAATTCAAAGTCATCTATAACAATGCATGGCTTCAGTTCCAGCCCCAGCGTCAGAGTTTGCAATAACTGAGCAAAGAGTGTGTTGTGATGGAGGGCAGAAATAATTTTATCAAAGAATTTCTATTAATGCTTTAATACCCTAGTCTTTGATAAAAGTATGGTTGGTGGATACAGGCAGTATCCTTGTTGTCATAACAGAGATCTTCTCATATTTGTTAATATTATTTAATTATTATTAGATTCTTACTTACACATCTCATAAGATGAGAGAGAATATAAGACTTGAAATAATTTCCATTATTGCGAGATGTTTATAAAAGTTCCTACTGTGGGCAAAGCAGTTTAGTCCATTTTTTTCTTTTTGTTAATTCAGTAGACAGGTATCTGAAGTGTCAGTGTTACGGTGTAATTGTTCAGGTATTGTTTTGAAGTGTAATCTGCTGCTCAGTATTATTTATCCAATTATGGCAGGTCACTTCCTTTATCATCTGGTAGTCAACAATGAAGGAATAATGGCTACTGTAAGAGAATCTGAAATCATTTTAATATAATTCAGTGTAAGAATCATCATGATGGTCTGCTGTGTACTCAGTTACCTTTTTTGTTTTTCAGCATTTATATTTATTTCCATTGAAATGTTTTATACTGACTTTGTTCAGTGACCAGTGTGGTTTCTAATTAGAAGTTTTTATTAAGATTATTTTGTTCATTACGTTATACAAAAGAGTTGGGTTGAGTATACACATCCATGTACACGGTTTACTCATATGACAATATGGACATGAAGACGGTCTTACGATTCTTGGCAATGCATTCTGTGTGATATAAATGTTTTATGGAACAATTTTTATTTAGTTAACTTGTGTGCGTGAGAGTGTACGTGTGTACATTTGTTTGTCCAACTTAATTTTGTACCTTGATTTCTTTTGATACTGGTTATAACTGCATTAAAATTATATTTCTGTTGCATTGGTATCTATATCTCTCCCTTACTCAGATCATTAGTTATATTAATTACAGTACAACCTCAAATGTCCCATTTAAAATGGAACATACCCCTGACAAGACTTCATCAATGTGAGGGTTAACAAGAAGCATGAACACATTTGTTTAATATGGCAAAACATATGTTTCTTTAAAGCTCCGATAAGTTAAGAGAAGAAGAAAAATAGTTCTCTTGGCTTGTAATTAATTTTATCCTAAAACATAACAATTAGTGCACTTAACCATAACCTTCCACACTTCCCACACAGTAAAAGAGAATTTAAAATTCTACATACTCATTTTGTAAGCAATGCAGTAAAATATACTGACCAGTCTACAGGAAATTTATTCTACAAGTGGGTCTGTGGACCCTCAATCTGGTAAGTGGTCTATAATTTATATATTTTTGTTGCAAATTTTTCAGATCATTAACCAAGAAGTATTCCTTTCAGTCTGACTCACTTTACTTGATTTTTCTGTAGATTTTAATCTGTTACCTTATCCTAACCTGTGTAACTTGAACTTCAGCACTGGAAGATGGACTCTTCATCTTCAGAGTTATTCCAGGCTTAGTGTACAGTGTGATGTTTCTAAATCTTATTAAGGTGGGATGCTCTTTAAAATGGCTCAGGGTATTGAATATATTGGAAATAAGCTATCTTGTAGAGTTTAAGAATTCAGTCTATTCTAATGTTTGAATTTTTTTTTAAATCATTTTGAGAGCTTAAAGAGGAAGTCTTGTTCAGTTATGATGCAGAAGTATGATTTTTAAGCTTAAAATTGATGAGTTCTAACTTAGCTTTTGTGGAGGGAACAAGTTGCATATGTGTGGATGTAGGTAAAAAAAATTGTTTGTGCTTAACTAATTATACACTAAGCCATGAAAGCATATGGGGAAGTGGATGTATAGATTACCCGATTCTTAACCTCAGCACTAGTTGGTGAGTAATCAGCCTTATCCCCCCTCCCCAGGGAAAGAGTTCCATGGTGTCATTGGATAAGAGCCTGGGTGAGGCCCAAAACTGGTCTGGACAACATCAAGAAGAGAAAGCTCTTGCCCTTAGCAGGACTCAACCGCTGACCCCCTAGCCATCTAGCCCACAGCCAGTTGCTATACAGACTGTAATATCCCATCTAGTGTGGATGTAGACACTGCAAAATTAATGGGCAGTTTTCATTTGATAATACAAGTAAAAGTGACTGAAAGTTAAGTTTCACTTGTGACTCAAGTCTTTCATTCATATGGTGAATGGAAGTCCAACATGGCAATTTATACATCAGAAATGATATGACTGGATGATAAATTGGTGATGAAATCTTTAAGTTGTCAGTAATGGTTTCATTCCTGAATCAGTAGAGGTAACCACTTTCAAGGTTTCAGAGTTCATGTAGCCGTATGTGAATCCTCTTGCAGAGTCTGTGGATCAACTTTGTATTTATTTTCAAGCTGTGTTATAAAATTCGCATTTGTTTTCATGGCTAATGGAATAAAAGTAAATGTTTAATATCTTTAACCTTTATGGGTTGTGTGTTCCACTAACATAATGCAGAATGTGCCTGTTCAGTTGGCTTGATGTTGCCTTTTTAATATTAATACTTTTATCCCCAAATTAAAATCAATGGAGTTGTACTTCCACTCTCCCCTACATCTTCATGTAATGGTCAGTAACTGCTTAAGCACAGGAACAAATTTACTTGGCCCTGTAATGCTGGGGAATTTGAGATTCGCTATTCCCTGATAAACTCTACAACCAGAGATAAAATCTGGCCCCCTCTCTCCTAGTACCAGGAGATTTAAAATTTTGCATTCCCAGCATGTAAAGATTAAAATCCTACCACCAGTCCCACNTACCTCTGCGGGGGGGGGGGGAAGTGATATGTTGAGGTTGTACTGTAAGAATGATGATGACCAACAGATAAGAATTTGTTGTCAAATTGCTGAAGAAAGCAGAAACAAAAGTTGTCTGCAGAACAGCTTTCAGTTTAGAATTGTACTCCAGTTATTGAAGTTTTCTTTGGACTGCAACAGAATCATTTTAATACACTGTTGGAGCCATAAGTGCTCTCATGGAACTGCTGTCTTTGTGCCAGTGTTCTTTAAATTATTTCTGTTCAAGTCCTTCCCTTTTTATTAGTCTTAATTTCTTGGAGACAAACGCACCACACACATGAGTAACAAGTCATAGCATTTTGATTTTATATGCAGATTTCAAGAGTACAAGTATGTTAGTATTGATTTAGAGCTAGTATTTGATTTCTAGAAAATTATATTTACAAATACAAAGAGAAGTGTAAAAAAAAAAAGGCAGGGTAGCTTATTGATCTCTCTTCATTATAGATACAGTCAATTGATTTTTAAGTAAAAGGAGAACAATTTTAGGTGCCAAGGTATCATTCATCATATAAAGCATTGGATGTTTTTTTAAGTATGACCCACTGGAATTTATACACCATTCTACTTAATCTCATGCCCTTGAACAGCCTGAATATTCTGTGCACCACAGTTTTTAAGCTTTGCATATCATTTACACGCAGTTAACTTTTGGATATTCAATAAAGTTAGTTTAGCTGTATGAAGAGAAGACTGTCTCCTGAAATGTGAAACCATGTAGTCTGGTAGGAAGTTACGAACATTTCAGAGGAACCTGTTACCTCTATCTTCAGGGAAGAAGGATCTTCTACACTACATAAGTCATGTCCCAGAAGACACTAATTTCATATGCACCACTGTGAAAACCTCATAATTTAATTTAATCGAATGGTTTGCTTAATGTGCCTTTCTGTGAAAACCTGCATTATAATACATTATACATAAAAGATTAAAAAATATTTACCAATGAATATAAAATCAGGAGATTATTGATACTCATTAGATTACTATTTTATTGCTACTTTTGCCATTTACAGTAAGAGAAGAAGGGTGAACTGGAGGCCTTTATTTGATCAGAGCCAGTGTCTTGTGCTGTGATTTCATGTTCCAAATCATGTTACCCAAGCACAGTAGGTAACCCACCCTTCAGCTGTTCATTCCGTTTCTGTGAAGAGAGACTGTTGTGTTTTTAACTGTCTGTGTTGAGATAATTAGATTTTACTTGTTAAAGAAGAACTTGATTTTCCTGTATTTACATTTCTACTGATCCATCAACATTCCATGTGCTCTCTCTGAATACATGTATTAATAAATAATAAAGAATCATATGAACATACCTATATTGTTTACAAATAGGAGTTTTGGAAGGAAGTACAGAAAATCTCTGTTCATAACTAAACATAGAGGCCTGCATGTTACATCATTATGTAGTACATCTGTCTGATCAAAGTGCCAAGTCCCCATAGAAAATCCATTATTACTTTATGAGTATACAAGGTAAATACACTATTTAAATTAAATTGTATAGACTTTTTGGTACGAGTATGCTTAATGTACAGAATGATTTTGGATTAGCATGGTATATGCTCAGGAAAATAGTCCATTAATGGAAAACATGTTCAATATGTGAACAATTAGCATCCAAGATCATTCGTAGCGAACGCCAAAAATTGGCATTTACCCTGCTTTGAGCACCTCCAGTGATTCTGATGACAACAGTTTCAGCTTCTTTGGTTCAACCATGTTGGAGTTCTTTCTGTATGCATTGTCATTCAGATACCTCCAGTTAATGTTATCACAGGTTGAGATCAGGAGAATATGGTGGCCAAGACCATCTATAGCCAAGATATCTAGGGAAATGGTTTGAGATAAATTTATTGCTAAAATCCTCATTGGTATCATCTCAGACTGAATTTGCTGTGTGGCATTAAGCCACGTCCTGTTGGGTGGGGCCTAATGATGAAAGTGTTCTATATCCCAAACAGAAAAAAAAAAGCAAAAATAAGCCAGAAATATAAGCAAAAAGATCAAAAAGTATTTTTATTAAAAATGAAATTATTTCAAAATGAACACCTATGCCTTGAAAAGTGAAAGTTTTCTTGAAGGATCTCCAGATCTGATCTCATCAATGATTCAGGAATTTACCACTGACAGACACATTCACCGAGGCTGCAGTACAGATTAACAACAGGATTATTTATGTGCATTGGGTGTTTCATTTGTATGCAGTTAAAACTATAGCATATTGTTTTGGTTGACCCTGTACTTATACTGCATTGCTACATGCTTTTTAAGCTACACATCCATATTAAAGAATGTTCAAAAGAGTTCATTTGTTGTAAGTTTTATTTATAATAGCAAATATGTATTTCAAAGTAATACAGTGGCTACCTACAGATGGTCCTTGGCAGCGACATAATTACTCTCCTCAACTGTATCATCTCTAAAATGATACTGGTATATCATGAATGGTCCAAATTTCACCCACATTACAAATAATTAGAAATATTCTGAATTCATAACCTCAAATTTATAAGACCGTCTGTTGTACTGATTGCTTTTACATAAAATCATTTACATCAAATGAAACAGTGTGTATGGGTTTAGGGTAATTAAACATAACTAACAGATAATGTACAGAGATCAATCCCTACAAAGGGATTCCTTAAAAAATGTAAGGTATGGAAATCTCATAATAGATGAATTTGTGAAATTTAACAGAATTTTTTAACCTTTTTGGGTTGATATACATCTTGTTCATGGAATGAGAATTGACATGACCCTTTCCGTTGGTAACTCAATTCCCTGTTCAAACTGTGTGTGGCATATATTTAATATGCAACAAGAAATAAAGACCTTTTACAGAAATTGTACAAATAAAATTGTCAAAACATTATTTTAGGTATTTTCAGCCTGTTTTACAGTACTTCTTTTGGCTTGTTTTGGACTTCATCCATTGTCTGGTATGTAAAAGACAAAAGACCATGACGTTTTGGAGACTGGATCTGTCTCTGTCTTCGGGTGGGTAGGGAAGAATAAACCTACTCAGTTGGGCCCATTAGAAAGAGCTAGTCTCAGTCACTGGATTGTGTAGTCCAGTGATTGAGACTAGCTC